GATGGATTGATGCTCTTGAACAATGCCCAGACCAGATTAGTTTTTGGTTGAAATCCGTAAATAATAATTACCCAATTGCATATTAATTACCAATTTTCAACTTCTTATTAATATCTCAACAATTACTCATCAGATGTTAATGAAACTTGGTACACCGGAGCTGGGATAAGTCACATTCATGTTCAGTTTAGGGTTGAATTTTGTGCATGCTAATTACTTAATTTGCATAAATTAGGCCAATTTATAGGTATTCTACAGATATCTCCTGTACCATTAAATTAAAATTAATATTCACAACTGTAATATTTCAAACACTGTTGAACATAAGGACATGCAACTAGTGCTATAATAAAGCATTGCTCAAGAAATTGTGTATCAATGACCATATATGGTCATGTTACCTCATTTATAAGCATAAATGTAATATCTCAAGAACTGTTGTGGATAGTGACAGACAACCCAGGATGATATGATGTTGTTGGAAAAAATATATTACCAGAATAGCATTTTATCATGTATTTATTTCTACCATAGCCACTTGGAACCATCCAGATACCTGCTTGCAGTTATGTTTTTAAATACTGTATTTGCTCTATTAAAAGAGCATGTGCTTTTAAATGTAAATGACAGAGGCAAGTCTTTGCTCAAAATAAGACATTTCAATAATTTGAAGATGTGCTTGTACTATAGTGAATACAGCATTCCTTATTTGTACTTCATGCCTCAAATACTCTTACCACACAGGAGTTGTTTGTAAGGTTTTTTTTTTTGATAAATTTACTGCTGCTAAATACAGAATTTATTGAATCTTGCACTCAGAATTATAAACTCACAAAGTGTTCTGTATTTCATAACTAATTGCAGCCTCACTGAAAACTGCAATCATTGTTTTCGAAGTGAAGTAGTTGGACATGTATATAGTTACCGGTAGTAAGCAACTTGAGATGGATTTTGTGCAATATAACCATGAACGTCATTCTTGTCATCTCAACCGAATCTAAAACCGATAAAAACCATCAAATTACTAGTACCGGTAAGTTTCATCAGTTGGATAAACGGTCATTTACACAAAGAACCTAATGACCAGCTATAACAAAGTTATTGTTAATAAAAAGTTACAATTATAATAACCATGACTGCTATGTTTCATTAATGTTGTTAGTGATGTGTGTTTTGAAGGACTGCAGTTGTAAGCACTAACCATGTACAAGTCCAATGTCACTAAACTTAACATTGTGGTGGATCCCAGTTTTGACTTAAAATAATTTATTTTTCATGGCAATCAAAGTCAGGAAAATCTTCCCCATCGTTAGTACTGCATGCCTGAGTCCACCATTGTACCTCGAGGTCCTTGTATTTTTCTTGCATAGATCATACCATGCATTGTACTGTGTTTCATTTTTGTGTTCTTCGATTTGAACTGTGGTTATGGTTATGATTATTGATTTTAATTTGGTATGATGTTATTCCTACTGTTGATAATATCACAATTGCAGCAGGAGACCCAGCAACACACCCAAGCATTTCACTTGCATGTAGGTTTACCGGATAAACATCAAGTGTATTGTTCTTTTACCGTTAACAATCTGGTACATGTGCAGTGTAATAATTCTTGTATTGGTATAAAACATGTTAATGATGCCAATTCTGCAGGGAGTAGTATCATCTTGCCCCTATTTATAGTATCGGTTCCCCTTTTATCAAATGCCGTTCCAGTCTAGTCTAGTCAAGTTTAAACATCACATAACATACATCACACATTAAGTCGTACCGTATATAATCATGTCTGTAATACAAACAGGGATTATGTCATTGACAATAACTTGTTTGAATTTTAGTACTAAAATGGTTGCCATTCAGCCATCTTGAATTGAATAAGATATGAAATCAATTTTTATGTTGTATACTTCACATTCTCGCCATGATTAAATTCAATTTCTGTATCACTATCATTTCTTGGTTCATAAGTCTCATCATTCATGTTCATTGAATCTGCTATTTTCACATTGCGTGTACAATAAAACATTGTACAATGTTTTGAATGGTGATCAAAGTGAGTACCGCAATGTTCATCATTACGCCAGTCATTTTTCAGACTTCTCTAATTAACAATTTATCCCACCGACTACCATGGCACTATTTGTGCCACTTGTGGTTTGTGGAGGTTGAGACTAGGATTTCAAAATGGTCCCCGAGGAAGACAGAAATGAAGGCAGAACATTTATAGGGGCAGATTGATACAAGTCACATTTAAATTGAGTTTTAACAATTTTGATTTATTACTGAATATCCCTTTCAATATAATTTTTACCAAAAATAATTCACCCAAAATAGAGAATTAATGATGTCACAAAATGATCTTTTTTATAGGAGCCCATCCAAGGTTGACTTACTACTTACGTATACTGTAAGCTTATCAAAACTATCAAATAACATTTTTTACCAAATATATACGTTGTCTTCATGATATGAGCAAATCTGACAGGCCCACCCCAGATACCTACATACGCAATTGAGCTGGTAAATAGAATTGTTGACAGACGACGATGGAAAATCATTTTTAATGACAGTGGAGCTAAAGAAATGGCCAACTCTTTTGTTTTAGAATAAAAGTAACACAACTGTCTTGTTAGAACGAATCATTTAATTAAAAATTAAATTTCGAGAATTGTAATTCTCGAGCTTAAGTAGTTATTAAATACAAGTAAAATACTAAAACAGTTACATCTCAAAATATTATGTACTTTGTTTGTTCAGCTGTAAGCCTTTTCAATAAAAAGTGTTTATAGCACTCAGTATCATTGGCTATGTTATTGATTATGATAATTTTTTGCAATATACATATTCATTCCTGATTTGAAATGATTTTTTTTTTTCAAATCTGCAATATTTGTATTTAACACCACAGATTCTAGAAAAATTTGGTTCCTGCTTTTTATCAAAATCATCTTATTGTCATGCAACAACAAGTTCAATATTTCCATTCTTATTGAAAATTAACTGCTTCTTAAACCAAAGTGGATCAGTCTTTCGTCTTGTATGCGCATGATCTTGAATTAAAATAAAGTCAAAATATTTGTACTTTTTACAATAGCGCTAGAGAGTCAAACACAATATGATCAAGATTTACTTTAATTCAACTGTCACACTTTAACCACTTCCACTCTAAAAACTTTTCAGCTGATTTTAAATATCTTCTGGTGATAAAAACCTCTTGCAAAGAAAATAAGTTCTTACTATCAATATAGTTTTGAATCATTAACATAATGTCAATTGAGGTTTGACAATGCACATCCTAGGTACACACTAAGGTAAAGTTGTATTAATAAACGGACTTATTTTTAATTGAAATTAACAATATATAATACTTGCGCTAGTGCATTTCAAGATAACATACTCAGGTATATTAAGGAAAAAAACAAATATCTTTCTTGGACATTTACATCAGGATCTGCAGTTTGCATACACAGCAGTCTATTTATAGTAATTTATTCATTATTAGTTGAACCTTTACCCCAAAAAGTAAAATAATTATTTGGATACTATAAATTTTATAAATAGTTTCAGTAGAGCATACAAATTCATAGTGTCACACTGCAAGACAAAACAGATATAAGGAATATACAAGGACGGCATAAAATAATTGAATTAATACTGATCTGCATATCTTAGAAGTGTATTACATTCATTTATTGATGCAGTTCATGATCCAATTAGTTTGATGTACAAATTTTAGTAATAAGAATAAGAATTGATCAGATTGGTTGATTTAAAATGTATAATCAATTTACAGTTATGTTTTTATCAACACAAGCTACATTTTGCATACTGTGGAATACTTTATTTTCGCTGAAATAGCTTTTTGGGCGTTTTGCATGGAATTTATTTTCACTGATTTTTGATGAGTTTAATGTGAAATATAGGAAAAAAAGTATATTCGCTGGATTTTATTTACACGGAATCATCCCTTCAGCGAAAATAGCGAAAATAAATTTCAAGCGAAAATAAAGTATTCTACAGTATATGAATGGAACCTATTTACATCATTCTCAAATGTTAATAGTTGTTGACAAATCACATTACAACTGAAGAGTAATAATTTAAATTTTCAGTTTAAATTCAATGAACTCAAAAAATGTAAATTTTTATTCAAATTGGTATACATGTTATTTTTTCCATGATGATATTACAACTGCTAATTAGTCACACGATTCTCACATATTAGATTCTGATTTTATGAAACTTTTTTGCCATTTTTTTTTCAAATAATTTTTATTCATATTTTTATTAGCTCCGCTGTCGACTTTGTCGAGCGGAGCTTATCATATGAGTGATTGTCCGTCGTCGTCGTC